CAAGTTTCCAGTAGGGCGAGGAGGAAATGAGAGGAAGAACTTACGTCCAGTTATGTTCAGATCAATTAATCCACGGCTCAAAGAGTCAGCCCATATGCCAGATTTAACCTGAAAATTTTCTTTCTTGGTGTTGGGCTTGGGAGCAGCCAAAGGTGTTTGGTCTGCCCTTCCATTAATACTTGAAGAAAGATCAAAGGGGTCTTTAGTTGCTTCTACAGTGTTTGCAACGAAGGCACCAAAGTCAGACGCATCAGTTTTGGGAGCTGCCAAAGGTGCTACATCTGCTTTGCCAAAATTGCCAGTGGAAGAAAAGTCGAAGGGGTCTTTAGCTGTATCCACAGTGTTTGATTCAAAGGCACCAAAGTCCGATGCTGCCTCAAGGTTCTGACTCGACGTGCTAATATTTCCAGTGGAGCTGTGTACAGGTGGTGGTGGTGCACTAGATGAGCTGAAGTCACCAAATGGGTCAGATCCCCCAAAACTGCTTAAAGGAATATCACCGAAAGGATCAAATGGTTCAGGTACTGTGTTCTTGGAAACGGAAATATTAGCATTAGAAGGTGTCCCAGAAGTTGGTGGTGGGATAAACCCAGTCTGTGGTGGAAATGCTGAAGCAAAGGTAGCATTTCCCGAAAAAAGGTCAACAGTTTCCTGCAGTATCATTTGGATGACAACACTGTATCATGATCAACGAAATTGAGAAACTACATGATTTTATAAGAGTACCAAAGCACAATACTGGCAGTTTCTGGCACTGTGTCAGATAATGTTATAACATATTTAGCAACTTCGATACAAAGAGAAGAAGAGAACCAAACCTGGACATCCTGATGCGCAGTTGTTTCGGCACCTGGGATTGCCGATTGGAAGTCTGCATCAGCAAACAGATCAACCTGAGGTTCTACAGCACTTTTTGCTGATGGAGTGGCTGCAGGCTCGTCAAGGAAATCATCCATCAAGTTTGGGCCAAGAAGATCCACCTCGGCAGTCTTTGTATTAGCTGCACCTGTAGAACAAGATAGAAATAATTATCTCTTTGAGTTTCCAAATCCAACAAATTCATTCATTCAAATATGAATAAGGCATAGCACTCCCAGTCTCAACAAAATATCAGGTCGTCCCTTTTAGTAAAAACTTGTTGAACACTTGAATTGACGTTCATATGATGAATTTCTATTTACAATTAGGCAGAAGAGAATGTTATAATTGTGCTACATGCAAGGTAATCTAGTAATAGCATAGGGTACATGCAAATTGAAAAGTGAACTACGTATTCATCAAATCATTACATATACTAATAGATTTACATGTCAAGACATGAACATGCATTCAGTACTACAGCTAAAGAAATTCCTTGCATGGAAATAGCATAACCAGGAAAAAATATATAATATTTTACCATTTGAAGAAGATCCACGAGGATCAAAGTCATCAAACTCATCCTCATTGCCTTTTGTGTTAGATGGTGACTTCGAGGAGCTGTGTGGATATAAAACTTCAGTGAAGGAGTGAAATGTATAACAATAAAAGATAAGCCCGGCGCTAAGAATCCAGAACCGAACTGATACTGCTGCATGTTTCTTTCAAAAATATTGCTGCATTTACCATACTTAACAAGATTCAGCAGGAGGACCTCCTCTAATAGGCAATAACCATAACAGTATGCTTTAGAACTAACTGCATTTTCAATAGCAAATTAGATACTCCCTCCGTCCGAAAATACTTGTCATCAAAATGGACAAAAAGGGATGCATCTAGAACTAAAATACATCTAGATACATGATACATCCCCTTTTATTCATTTTGATGACAAGTATTTCCGGACGGAGGGAGTACTAATTCACCAATCATGCAGCCAAGAATGCTACCTATAATTAACCCACCATATCCCACTGGCAACTCACCTTTTATTAATGATAAAAATGGACACTGTTAGTAAAATACTACTGGCTGTAGTTTCAGAAAACCAGCATAGTTATTTAACGTAGTAAAAATGCTAAGCAGCCCTAAAATACCTTCTATCATGATCCGCATCCTTTCTTATCTTGCTGCCAGATCTGCGCCTGCCAGTATTACTTGAAGAGGTTTTAACAGGTTCTTTGTCCCTGTAACTGTTACTGAACGAATCAGCCTCCCTTGTGCCACCAAAACTGCCATAGCGTTCACCTGAACTGTAGTTGCTACCTCCAGAGGCTGAGCTTGATCTATATGACCCAGTTGATGATAACCCAACGTACCTTCATCCACAACAAATATACGTTACGGTTTAAGACTGTCAAAGATGAGTACACAACTAAAAAAGTTAGAAGATCTCATTTAAAAATTTCGCAGAACCCACTTGTCACGGTTACTAGCCGCTTTCTCTCTCACAGCCTTTATTCTCTCCTTATCATTGATGATCCCCACCAGAGTTTCCACTTTCTTCCTCACATTTATTCCAGAGTCTTTTCCATTAGGTTCCACAAACTCAAAACTCGAAAGAACCTTAAAGGATACGACAAGAAAATGTTTAATCACTCGACGTAGCCTTAACTAGAAAGAGTTGTAAACAAAAGCACAGACAACACATACCGAGATCTTTGAATAATGATCGAGAATGTCATCAACTGCCCGGTCAGAACCATTCGCTATCAAGTACTCAATAATCGTCAGTGCCTACGCATCCACAAATTTTAATTAGTGAATAACATTGCTCATAAAAATTTGCACGATACAAAGGTCTGTTTCCCTTTGGTGGTTACTGGTTAATGTGATCAATCACTGTAGAAGTGATTCCTAACAAGCTTAATATTGGTCCAATATACTATTGAAAGGATGGTCATTTAGGGAATAAGAAGCAATAACCTTATACACATGACGCCAGTTTGCATCTCGCTCACCCAGCCTGGCCCAGAGGACACCCATCACCATCTGACACTCAGAGCTGCAGATTTTAGAAGTTATAGGCATCATTTCAGCACTGATGGAAAGGGAGGTCGGATAGCACAACACAAACAAGACATTAAAACTTACTATTTCTTGGTGGCCTGAGCTAGCTCTGAAAGAGCAGACCCGTGTGGACCCCAAGGTTCATCACTTGTCGCGTCAAGTACCTGATTTGAAAGCAAAACTTTTAGGAGAAGACATAAACTATGAAATATGATACAATGAGAGATCAAAATGACTAGTCTTGTAAGCTGTCACTTCTCATCAGACTTCTAGCGCTAAATGTAATCATCGAGGAATCCAGCCTGATTACAGGCAAATCAAAAGCAGTGTGTGAGGAGTGCATTCGGTACTGTATTTCAACTTATCTCTGATTCAGGGCTTAATAATTTATCCAAACCATCAGCGCAGAATTTGACTTTTTTAAGGAACATAATTTTATTTATTGCTCCTAGAGAAAGTTACATCATTTATCAATTTCCTTACAGCACTGCTGTGAAGTGTACACGAATAGACAACAGTGGTATGGCAACCAAGCATACGTAAACCACACTACTAGGAAAAATTCAAGTGTCATCCTCCAACCTCCACCACATGAACCATTCCCATAATTCACAGCTCCATTAACGGCAAGAGGAAACAACTTTACAGAGCAGCAGAGCTAAGATCTGGGCGAGATCCAAACCTTCTGTTCGAGCTCGGGGACCTTGAGCACCTTGAGATTGACCTCCCTCTTTCTGCAAGAGCACGCGCACAGACAAACAGATCAAGATCTCACTCCCCACGGATCAAATTCAGCAAACGCCGTAGTCATCCTTGTAAAACGGCTAGCGAGATCGTGGCCGGTGGGCGGCCCGATCGAGAAAACTTACATCTCCCGCACGGTCTGATCGAAGGCCTTCATGAAATCCATGGCCGGCGCGGCGTCGAGGGCTCGCCGGGGGCTCTATACAGCGGGGGATCTGGGCTCTCGAGCGCTGAGCTGGTGAGTGGCAGCCGAGCGAGCGGCCCAGGAGGCTGTGTCTGGGTGGGATGGAGGCGCGACGGCGGCTCCCCCGATCCCGGCGAGCGGCGAGCCCCCGCGACGGACGGCGAGGTCGTCGGCCTGGCCTGCCGGGCGGAGGGCGCGCGCGTGCGGGGAGGGAGGGAGGGGAAGTGGGCGGCGAGGCGGGCGAAAGGGCCACTTGGTGGTGGTGATGGCCGGTGGGTAGGCCGGAAGAGGAACCATGCGCGTGCCACCATTGGACGGCCAGGATCAACTCTGGCGAGATCTGACGGCCGATATGGCACCAGCTGCAAACGCACTAGCAGTACCACGGTCTGTGTCAGTGCACTGCCAATCTTTTACTGCGCTACTTTTGGTTGGAGAAATGGTAAATCTCACTGGTAATCTCATGGGATTAAGCCGCTGCTCATCCGTTTTTGCGAATGTTTTGGTTGGTTGTAATCTGATCGGCACACAAACACCATCTGCCACTGAACCAACCACCACGAGATGCACATTTCTTTTTGACTGAAACAAGCCCAAGAGGGTAACCATATGCTTTGCCACTCCAAGCCTGGCACAGCCTGAAGGTGAAACTCTGTTCCAATTTTGCTAGGTTTGGATTCAGTGGGAATACATACACAGCTTCCATTGCAGAAGCAGGTCCATGTATGACCCGAAAAGAATAATAACATGGTAAAATAGTGGCGGTGGCTTCAAACCGCATAAAGAAGGCAACCAAAAGAGAAGCACCTCCATACCCGTCCCACGTCAGCGGCAAAACCAGTCAACGGGAAACATCAAAAGCAACAAAGAATAGTTTGGGAGGCAACAACAGTTCGAATACTCTCAAACGACACATGATTTTAAGACATTGCATTTTGTTGATAAAAAAATTATATATCACCAACATATGTATGAATAACACATCAAACTGGTCTTGATGTTCATCTGGATCAATGTAGAACAACAACTAGAGTTACCACCATACTGAAGTACCCACAAATACTTCAATGCACACAAAGAATTTCCAAGTAAAATCAGCTACTTCTTGTCAGAGTTGCGGCCGTTGCCGGAATCTGCTCCCTCCCTAGCGTAGGTGATTGTAACTGTTGAACAATCTGCTCTGTGAAGTCTTCTCTTTCACTGCAGACTTCGGAGCATCAGGAAACACATTCCAAAAGCGCAGGGTCTCGTCTGCTGCAGCGGATGCCACCGTGCAACCATCAGGGCTCTGCAAAGGTCCAACAGAAGACAACCATAAGCCATCCATCTGTGCACACAATGTGTGTTTCAAACCTAGCTACAAAGCATAGGGAGCGAGCAAAGATTACCTGAGCCATGAAGAGGACACGGGAAGTATGGCCATTGAGCTCGGCCATCTTGACCATCGACGGGTACTTCCACAGTGTGAGCTGGTTCTGAGTGAACCCATGCGAGCTCAGCAGCTCTCTGTCATTCTTGTTCCATAGCAGCGCACAGACTTGTGACCCAGTGTCGACTGAGTTGAGGCATGCGCCCGTGTGTGTGTTCCAGAACTTGATGCACCGGTCATTTGCGCCACCACCCGACGCCAGCAGGTTGCTCTGGAATGGGCACCATGCGAGCGCCTTCACAGCAGCCGAGTGGTCTTCCATCCTGTGTAGCCATTGGGTGCGGCCTGCGGATTGTGCAGAGGATGCCATGGACACATCCCATATGTGGAGGAGGTTGTCGTTACCACCGCTGGCTAGCTGCCGCCCTGATCCGGACCACTTGAGTCCACACACCTCCTGCGTGTGCCCGCGGTATGTCTGCACAGCATGCTCCCTAATCCTCACATCATTGTTCACAATCTTGCCGTCCATACCACCAGCGGTCAGGATGCTCTTGTTCCATGACAGTGATCCGACTCTCGACTCATGCACACCTTGCAGTGTCCTCAGCTGCAGAATGATTCATGGTCAGCAACTAAAAAACAAGAACAATGCTGCTAACAGAGAATTATAACAGGAGAGAGAGGTGTCAAGAAGTACCAACCAGTCGGTTCGAGCTGGAATCCCAAATCTGGACAGCAGAGGAGTTGAGGCCAATAGCAATGTGCTGGCCATCAGGAGCCCAACTAACACTAGTGACAGGGCCATCGTCCTCATCAATGGTAACAAGCTCGGATGTAGACCCACTTGCGGCGTCCCAGAGGTACACCGTGTTGCCCAGTGCAATGGACAGCACATTGGCGCTTCCCCAGTCCAGCAGGTTGAGGTAGTAATCGTCAAGGAGGTCTGGCGCATCCAGAGTCCTCTCTGCGGACTGCATCAGGTTTCCCATGCACATCAAGTCAGTAATCATCATCACGAATTGCCACTACAACTGCAACAACCAATGAGAGCAGTACCACAAACTAAGCATGACTGTACCTGAGGGATGTATCGACGCTTCTTCGCCGTTCTGGCCTGGACGGAGGCCACATCAGCACGGAGCTCCGTGAGGATGCTGTTCTCAGGCTCCGGCGGCCTGTTGCGGAAGGCGAGGATCCTGGTCCGGTTGTTGAGCAGCTTCTCCGCCAGCAGCTTCCGGTACGCCTCCTTGCCCGGCGACGGCGTCACCGCGTTCTTCCTGTCCTTCCTCGGCTCCGTCAGCAGGTAGTGCGCCATGTCCATGTCCATCGCCGACCTGTCGGGGATGAACCTGTCGCCCTGCCAGACAAACAAACAAGCAAGATTCACACCCGTTCAGTCATTCCGTCGAACGGCTGGCGCGCAGGCACGGGACAACAGGCGAAAGGGTGAAACGGGATCGATCGGGGACTCACATAGCACTTGACGGCAGGGTTGCGGGGCGTGGAGCAGAGGGACGGCATGTAGGGCCTGGGCCTGGAGCCGGGCTCCTGGAGCGGCGGCATGGAGGGCGTCGAGATCGAGCCGGCCTCCCGGAGCGGCGGCCGCGCGCCCCGCCTGCCGCTCTTCTCCGGCGACATCATGTCGGAACCTGCGTCCATGGATCAGAGCAAACAAGAAACGGCGGTAGTACTGATGCGGGCAAGATCAGGGCGCACAGAGCAGTGCAATTCGATCCGGGATTCTACACGAAAGTAACCCTAAATCGAGCGAGCAATGGATTCGCAGGCAGACGAGTATATAACAAACCAAATCAACTCGGTAAAGGACAACCTAACGCGGAGAGGATTTCTACCAAAAGAAAAAACACGGAGAGATTAGCAGCGCGCGGACGAGGATCAAGAAACGAGATCGCAATCAGTAACCAAAAAAAACGAGCTTTGGGCGCGAGGAGGAGGAGGAGGATCCTGCGGAGCTCCGAGCGCGGACGAGGCGGCGGGCGTTTCCCCCCGAGCGACGGATTCGCTGGCTCGCGAGGCCGGGGGAGGGCGGCGGAGTTGGTTCTCTGTGGGGCGGGGCGGGGCGGGGGAGTTGGTTCTCTGTGGGGTGGAAATAGTGGTGCGGCAGGGGGAGGAGGGAGGCAAAGATGGAAGGGTGTAAATGATATAGCCGTTGGGGAAATTGGCACCGGTACCGCGTTTTCTCTGGAGAGCACGGGCAGCCGCGTAGGGCTCACGGCAAATCAACAGACGCCGCGAGTATTATGGCAGGTATTCAGTTGTTTTTCGGGATAGTAAGTAGAATTATGGTACATTAATAAACTTCTCTAGTATTTTCTTTCTCTCGGCATTGTCTTGCAAAATTCGGATGTTCATAGGGGAATTCGATTTGCGAACCAACCTATGGTTCGACGGTTTATTTCAAGATTTCCAGTGATGCACGTTCAATGGGAGGAGACGTGCTCCTCGCTCTTTAGAGGTATGATGTGCGTGTGTGCGTCACGGAATTCAATTTCCTTTTTCAATCTCTCACAAAATTCATGTGAAATCCCAGTTTTGAATTTATGGCATGCGCGTTAGCCCGAACAGAAATGCGTGGCGACTTTAGGCCGAGAACGGGCAGATTATTGTGTTAGACAAGTGTAAACAGTTCTGTCTTTGGAGGCCACCAGAGCCGGCCTCGTCTCACACGGCCAAATTCCAATACAACGACATCCAACACATTGGCAAAGGCATGTACTCCTACTCAATAGTGATCTAAATGCTCGCTCTTATATTTTTTTACGGAGGGAGTATATATTCAGAGTCAGAGTTTCAGACGATTGAGCTGACACATAGATTTTCTCTCCAGTTTCATCACAGAAAACTCCTCATGGTTTCCTTTAGTTTAACCTAAATAAATCGCGAGAAAAGGCACAACGGCGGCATCATACAGGTATGCTTCTCATCAAGGGAGTGGACTTTAAATCCTAGGCTAATCTAACGCTCCGTTTGGATGTTTGCATTCGGAGCCTTGGCATTGCATTGGATTGAATACCAATATCACAAGATATTGACATTGAGATTGAATGCCAATATTTTTGTTTGGATGTTTAGGTATTCAGAACAGAGACCCGATATTGAGGTTGAATGCATGATGTTTGGATGGTCAAATAATATATCAGGGTGGAGGTCGCTGAAGAGAGAGATGAGATGGACTGTTATCTCCTTCATGAGCGCCCCTAGGGGCGAACGTTGACCTCCGGCAAGCCCCGGAAGGACCAGTCCAGGAAAAGGACTTTTTTGAGTGAGGTGTCTTCCTTGCAGTACCGGAGAAGCGGCAGCGTGGCGAAGGTGTCTGGTAGTCGGCGGTCGAGGTCTGGGACAGGGCCCGGCTAGCCGGCGGTCGAGGTCCGGGATACGGCCCCAGTAGCAGGCGAGCAGCTGCAGGATCTCCAATTGTGTGAACAGGATCCTCAACCTAGGATGCACAGAAGAGACAGATGAGAGGGGACTGCTCTACCGGGAGGGAGAAAAGGAAAAGAGAGCGCGGTGGGGCGGGAGGTGGCGCCGGCCGCTGGACAAGAGGGGCGGGACGGGCTACATGCGCCTCCGTCGCCGTTCCTTAGGGCATGCGCGGGCGAGACCTGCTATCTCGAGCGGGGACGCTCGTTTCGGTCGCGAACAGGTACGCTATCCCGAATACTCAGCGATGTCGAGCGCGGACCCTTCGAATTGGGCTACTAGCTTTTTGCCCGCGGGACGGGTCGCTCGATATCGAGCCCGAATGCCAGAGCTGAATGCCAAAATCAACCAAACGGTGGTATTCGGGATATTCAGCCCAAACGAATGCCAATACTCAATACTAGGCCCGAATGCAAACATCCAAACACAGCGTAAGAGATTTTGTCAACAATGCTCATGTTTCTCAGTGAACACGAGGCAAAAAGATCACCGCCCAAGAAAGGACATAGCCACATAGGGCCTTGTACTTTTTGCTCTTTCGCCTGATTTACTTGCGTATACATACTTCTTTATCAGCCTCAGCCTCCCAAGGAGAAACACATGATCAGAGCGTTCATCATAGCAGGCAACCTTTGAAGGCCTTCCTTAGCGCGGCTTCATCCAGATTCCTGCCGATAAACACGAGCTTGCTGATCCTCTTCTCACCATCCTCCCACGGCTTCGCTGGGCAACCTTCCAACATAGAGTGTACACCCTGCAATTTCGTGCAGGAGTTAGCAGCGGGATGACATACATTAGAACAGGCGAAACTGCAGAGGCACCGAAAGAAACACTTTTACTGGCAACACAAGGATAATCAAAAGTTCACTACACATAACTCTGATCATACGGATCAACTTCGTTCGAGCAAAGGGATAGAATAGCAGAAGATGATAATAAACTGGTTTCTTTGCCGAGGAAAGGTTTGGCTGCATAACCTGAAACACGAAGCGTCCAGTTGACTCGTTGACGGATATGACACCCTTTAATCTGTACAGGTCTTCGCCTTTCTCATCAACCAGTCTCTCCAGCCAATCATTAACCTTGAAAAGACATTGCACATTAGTGATAAACTAGTTCATTTGCAGAGGAAAAGTTTGGTGGTACTAAAAGGAAGAACCATATTTCAAGCAAATCTTAACTACATTTGTTTACCTCATCAAGATCAAGTAGTCCCTCCGAAACAATACTTACACTAGTAACAGCTGCATCATGGACATGGTCATGATGGTGTCCTACAAGTCAGCAAAGTAAACAAACAAGCTGAGAAAAAGGAGAAGGTTGAAAAAAAATGAATGCATACAGAAAATTTAGAGCAAACTGCAAGTCTGGGTGTGTCATCTCAATTATTGAGCATTTATATGTCTCCAACAGAATTTCGATAAAAGGTAAAAATCCAAAGGAAGCCACTAAATGCTGCCTTAAGCCCTAGATATAAAAGTTAGCATGTCTAATATGGTGGGATTCAGAACACATGGATACCGGAGCCTGAACATTACCATGCTCATGTCCCAAGTGGCAATGCCCTCCTGTCTCTTTGTTTTCATTCAATTGGACTGCAGCCTCGATCCTGCAGATATATTTTTATCTCAATTAGGGAAACAAGATATGACATCTGACTCAGGATTACAGACCAACATTCTTTAACACACAAGAAAAAAATGATACTAACCTATCAAGGTCATAACCGCCAATTCCTAGCACAAAATCCATGTCAACATCACCAAATTTTGCTTTTCTCATTTGCGCCATCCCATTTATGAGCTGCAACGAGAAAACTTTTCAACTTGTGCAAAACAAAATAAGCTTGCACTTGACAAAAAAAATCTATTTTCTGAAGGCATTGTACCAACCTACCTTGATCTTGTTGGTCAAAACCTCAAGTTCTGCGTCATCAACCAAATCAGTCTGCATTGATAGCAATTATAGAGCATTAGACAAGCAAGCACTTTTATACTGTATTCTTGAAGAAGAAAATGCAGAAAAAAGACGTGCTTAAATAACAATTTTTTGCACCAGAGCCTTGTAGTATATAGTTCTATAGACTGACTAAATACCTTGTTCAATATAATCCGGTCTGCATAAGCAACTTGTTCTACTGCCTCGTTCACAACCCACCTTGCTTTCACTTCATTCAAATGTTGCATGGCATGCTTACAATCAACCAAAGTAACAATACCATCAAGTTTCACATATTTCGAGACCAATTCATCAGAACAAAATGTCTCAATAACAGCACCAGGCTTTGCAAGACCTAGACAGTGACATTAGTTTTGTTAGGCATTAGAACTTCGACACATCTTTAGACCAAAGAAACGATAACCATATATTGGTAATCCGGTAGATTTTGAACCAATGAGATTTACCTGTTGTCTCAATGACGATATGATCAAACTTGTCACCCTTTTGCTTCACCAGCTTCAGAAGCATCTTTACAAGATCCCCTCGGACAGTGCAGCACAAGCAGCCATTATTGACCATCACAATGTCTTCAGCGACGGATGAATGGTTAGCGACGAGTGAGCTATCGATATCCACCTCACCAAACTGCACACAAAAGGGCAATATGGCTTATTCTACATAGTAACATCACCACTAGAGTCTCGTCATGTTAAACTGGAGCTGATTCAGTGCACTATCGATTTGTTGTGAAACATAGTATCAAACAATGTTGACTGGGCATAATAAAGTGCTCCAAGAAACAAGGATCTTCAGTTAACCTCGTTCTCAATGACAGCAATCCTCTTCCCATGCTGTGATGTTAGAATGTGATTCAGAAGGGTTGTCTGCAAAAGAGAGATTGAAAGCAATTAGCCAACCTTAATAAACAAACATCAGTCCTATAGAGATTATTATAGCACCATGGAAGTGAGCACATTCATCGGTTTAAATCCACGCCGGGTGTAGTAGGTTTACTGATAGCATATCGATTTCTCAAATCTGAATGCATATTAACATCACCTACGCCATTATATGCAGTAAGTTCAGACTTCAGACTGACTGACTTATATAGCCTACACGCTCCAGGTAGCAGAACTTCACAAGGGGAAAGGTAAGTAGAGCGAGGCGGACCTTGCCGGAGCCGAGGAAGCCGGTGATGACGGTAGCGGGGACGCGGTTGTCCAGCGCCTGCGCGTCGAAGGCAGCGTCGGAGAGGTGCCGCTGGAATACGGTGGGCG